ACCTTATCTTTTCAAGTCCCCACTGAAACTTTCCTTCGTTTCACCCTCAACCCTGACTCACCAGACTCGCTTATCTTAGTTATTTCCTCCCTTTCTCATCCTCCGTCCCCCCTGACCTCTTCTCCTACCCCTTGTGGGATTTTATCCACTTCTTACTAGTTATCCTTTATTTTTTAATAAGGTTTTATGAAATATTTGTCCTTATGAGACTAGGTTAGCCCACTTAGCATGATGCTCTCTAGATTCTCCCATGTTACATCATATTTTTTTTTAGGTTGTCAAGTATTTAATTTTATTTGGGTTCACAATCAATATCTATGGATGCAGATGTCAAGAAATTAAATGATAAAAAATCAAATGATATATTTCAAAATTATTGCTCCTTAATGCTGTATAGTATTCCGTTTTGTGAATGTATTGTCATTTCTCAATATAATCATTTGTTGATAGACATTTGGACTGTTTCCTTTTTTTTTCTATTGTGAATAATGCTGCTATGAACATAAGTTTACAAATCTCTGCTTATGTCCAAGTTCTAATTTCTTTGGGCTATATGCCTAGCAGTGCAATAACTGGGTCATATTTGATTTCTATGTTTAGCTGTTTGAGGAAATATTTAACTGTTTTCCAGAGGGGTTGTGCCATATTACAATTCCACCAGGAGTACGTAGTATTTACAATTACTTGCTATGCATCTGAGAGCTGGACAATGAATCTGGATAATAAGAGAATTTAGGCCTTTGAGCTGTGGTGCTAGAGAAGAGCTCTGATCATCCCGTGAATGGCTAAGAGAATGAACAGATATGTCTTGGAGAGGGTGTGGTCAGAATGTTCTTTGGAGGCAAGAATGATTAGGGTTCTCCTCATATACTTTGGACATGCTGCTAGGAGGAGCTGTTCCATGGAGAGGTACATGATGCTGGGTGTTGGAGTGGTAAAGGAGAGGTAGACCCTTATCCAGGTGGATTGACATGGTGACTGATGCAATGGTCTCTTGCATGTCATGATGTGTGAGAATGGCTCAGGACAGAGCAGGATTCAAATATTTTGTTCATGGGGTTGCTAAGATTCATACTCGACTAGACAGTATCTAACCACAATTACCAGCAGTATATGAAAATTCAATCTCTCCACATCCTTGGAACATTTATTGCTTGCTGTCATATTAAATTTTGCTACTGCTACGTGAGTGAGATGGTATCTCACTGTGGTTTTGATTTGCATTTATCTTCTTGCCAGTTATTTTGATAATTTCTTCTTGTGTATGTTGGACATATGAATGTCTTCCTTTGTTAAAAAAGTCATTTCATGTCTTTGGCCCATATTGTGATTGGGTTCTCAGTCTTTTCCTTTTGGAGACCCCATAGTGTTCTGTAAACTTTTGTTATGAGACCATTTTCTGAGCTGTCATTGGTAAATATTTTTCCCCAGACTATCGATTTTCTTTTTTTACCATATTGGAAAAAGTTTTTGAAGCACAGAATGACTTAATATTTAGAAAGTCCCATTCATCAATTTTGCCCTCTTCTGGTAGTGCATTTCTGGCTATATTTGCAAGCCTATTTATACCATTTGGAAGCAGAGGTGGCATCCACTTCCTAAAAAACATGTTTTCAGAAATTCTGTGAACTTTTATAAATGTTGATAGTTGTAGAGGGGCTTCAGGCCTTTTGTTCATAGTGTCACTATGAGTTGTACTCTATTTGAAGGCAATCAATAACAATAACAACAACATTTATACCATAAGGTAATCCTTCTGACTTTGGTCTCATTTTGTTTCGTATACTTTTTATGATTTTGGGCTTTATCTCAGGTCCTTGATTCACCTTGAGTTGTCAGTACCATTTATTGAAATGGTTGTAATTTTTTCATTTGATAGGTTTTGTTTCCTTGTCAAATACCAGTTGAATGTAGGTAGATGGTTAATTTCTGTGTTTTTAATTCTGTTCCATTGGTCTATGTATTGGCTATTGTGCCAGTACCATGCTGTTTTAGGTTCAAAATCAGGGAAGATGTATGTACTAGATGCATCCTATTTCCATATGTTTTCAATCTATATGCATAATAGATCCTATGGGAGGCTGTACTTTATAAGGAGAAATGTGCCATCAGAATGGGCAGAAGACTCATCAGCAATCTGCAACAACCTTGCTTGCCAAAACTGAGGAGGACCTTAATGTTTGCTGCAGATGATCAAGGAATGTAGTCTTCACTATGGATTGAAGCTTAACATGAAGAAAACAAAGATTCTCACCTCTGGAGCAATTGGCAGCATCTTGATAGACAGTGAAGAGACTGAGATTGTTAGCAGCTTCAGCTTACTTGGCATGGTCAACATGCTTGATAACAGCAGCCAGAAAATTAAAAGACAAACTGAATTGGAAAAATCTTCTGCCAGGGACCTCTCAAGAGTACTGAAGAGTAATGATGTCTGTCTAGAAACTAAGGTGAACCTGATTCAAGACATGGTTTTCACAATTATATGCTATGTATCAGAGAGCTGGACAATGACTACATGAAAGAAGAATTGATACCTTTGAGTTGTGGTCCTGGAGAAGAGCATTGAACATACTGTTAAGAACACTACAATCCCAGAGGCGCACGGTTCAAATCCACCAGATGCTCTGCCGGGGAAGGAGGGACAATCTCCTCCTGTACCAGTCAGATCTGATTTGACGGTACACACAAATAATAAAATTTAAAAAAAATTTAAAAAAAAAGAAAACAAATAGGTTCATCCCAGGGAGGGTGAAACAAGGTTTCTCCTTGGAGGCAAGGGTTTTGAAGCTCCATCTGACATACTTTGGGCACATTGCCAGAAGGGCCCATTCCTTGGAGAAGGACGTCATAATTGAAAAGGTAGAGGGACAGCAAAAGAGAGGAAAATCTTGGATGAGATGAATTGACTCAGTGCCTGGGGTAATGGGGTTAGGTGTGTAAAATAAAACTAAATTGGCTCAAGATAGAGCATGGTTCAGAGCTGTTTTACATATGCTGTACATATGACAATTGTACATATGTTATACATATGTTGTGACTATGAATCACAAGCAACTCATCAGCATATAACAATGACAACAACATCAGGGAGTGCTGTGCCTCCCACTTCATTTTTTATTTTCCAATGTGTTTTGAAGGTATTATGTTACATGAGTGGAGACTGTTGATTTTTCTCCAGAGGAAGGACTGGTGGATTTTATCACCAGTGCAGCCTGTGGATAAGTAGTAAAACCCCACCAGAGTTCTCTGGAAGTACAGCTCGCTCCTCACTTACTTATTGCCATTGAGTCTAAACTGACAGAAAAACCAGGTATACTGCTACATGTTGCTAAAGGCTTCAAAAAAGACTATGTAAAAATAACAAAAAGAAAAAAAAAACAGCCAGTGAGACGAGAACACTTTCTCCCCCCTTTCTATACATATTATATCCATTTTGGTAAATATTGGTATTGATTCTACCTTTCACAGTGGATTTTTCTGGAGGCTGTAAATCATATGAAAGGGAATTTTCCAACTTCTCCATCAGAGCTGCTGATGGAATCAAACTGCCAGAGAGGCTCTGTGTTGGGGTTAGCAAAGCATCTCCCTATAGACGTTGTCATCAGACCTTCCTGAAAGCATAACTAAGAAGAATAAATAAATTCCAAGGCAACAAACACAGAAGTTGCAAATTGATTTTATGACTGCAGATAGTCTTCTGTTTGCCCTCCTAAGGTCGTCTCAACTTTAGTGGTTATTTGTAACCATAGTATTATCTATTACTATTATTTATTATTATTATTATATTGTTTCTTATCTTTAAGCTTCTAACAAGGAGTAAGAAAATATTTTTATTGTTGCTGTTTTAAGCAAAGAGAAAAAAACAAAGAAAGCAAAAGGAACATCCTCATGTATCTTAGCAGAGTAATAGGGAGGTGCTACAGATCAGAGAATTCTGGTGGCTTAGTAGTAAGGTTTTACGCTGCCAATACAAAGGCAGACAGTCCAAATCCAACAGCTGCTCCTCACAAAGAGAAAGATGGACAATCTGTTCCTGTATGATTTGCTTCTGAAAACACAGGGGAGAGTCGACTATGAGTTGGTTTTCACTTGACCACAATGAACAACAACACATATATGTTAATAAAAGATGCAGCCAAAGTAAGATTAACATTTTTCCATTTAAAATTATTTTGTGAAATAGAAATTTAGAAGTATTGAAGAATCTAATAGTGTTATAAAAATCAAAGTTTCTTCTAGAAGAGAACAAAGTGTATGTTTATTCATTTTGCTCAACTTCTAAATAAAGAATATTAGTTTGTGAAGAGTCACAATTCCATTCAAGGAGAACTTAGATAAGCACCTTCTATAAACCTTGTCAAAAACAGACCAGATACCTATTACAAAGGGCTTCAAAACTACTATTATAATATAATACAAAGAAAGAGCAGAAGCAATAAGAAGATACTTGCTTTTTTGTTTCCCTGTACACTCATCAATTCTGATAAAAATTACTGTTTATTCTACCTTTTACAGAGCCCTGCTACAATATGTAATTAACTGGACATATGCAATTAATGTGTACTCTAGTATTCTAACTGAATAAATTTCCATCATTTGGGAAAATCACTTTAGGAGAAAGCATGTCATGGAAGTATGATGAGCCTTTTTTTCCCTCCCAAAAATACAGAACCACGGTACCTAACTAACTCAATTACTTATTTTCAAACATCGAAATATAATAAATTGGCTTAGAAAGGTTCACAGCCTCAAAGCATGTACAATAATAGACAAATGAGTAGTTTCTGAACTCTCACCAAGCAAGAACTGCATGTGGTCCTCATGGAACTTACAGGTACACTAAGGCCACCTTCTCCAGCCCTTTCTAAATAATTGGGGTTTAAGGAGAACAAACCGTAACAGGCACAAACACAGAGCAGAACCAAACCAAAAAATAAGAGCATTAATTTGGTAGGTAGTTTTTGGTTTTGTTTTCTTTTAAATTTTTTTTTTATGCTTACTAGAGATAAACTGGGAGAATATGAGCTGTTTTCTTCTTCCAACGTTCGAAGGTGAGCTGGCAGTTCCAAAACTTTGGTCTTTTCTAAAGCTTCTTTTTTACTAAAAAAGGAAACAAAAACAATTTTAAGTGATAATAATTTTAAGGCACAAGAACCAGGTGAAGGAAGTTAAGCAATACTAATGAAACATTGTTGTTGTCGATTGCCTTTGAGTCAAGCACCACTCATGGCAATCCTATGAACAAAAGGCCTGCAGCCCCTCTACAACTATCAACATTTATCAAAGTTCATAGAGTTTCTGGAGGCATGTTGTTTAGGAAGTGGATGACACTCTTGGTTCCAAAATAAAACATAGTAGAACCATAAAACAATTCTATCCGTGACTAAAGCCATAGAAAAGTACACAAGAGAGCTGATTTAGAGATTTCCTTGCTTAATCAGGCTTGACTTAGTATGTTAAACTCTTTGAACTTCAATTTCCTGGAAAATAAAGAAGATAATATTAATTTTTTTCCTCAAGGCTAAATGCACACTGATTTATGGCTTTGTTCACAGTATGTATTACAACTTTCAACCTTATTATCAACAACATCTAATCCTTATGACTATCAATCATTATTTATTAGGTCCATTTGTTCCCAAATTTGGTTGCTTGTCAAAATAATGTGGAGATTTCTCCTGAAAAATATATTTGTTGGCAGTAGAGAATCTGATTTAGTTTATTTTGGGGTATAAAGATCTGTATTTTTTTAAGAAAATGCATATTTATTGATTCTTATGATTAGTCCAGTTACAACTGTTATCTTCTGCATGAAACAGTCTTTGTTGTGACTATAATTTTCAGTGACACAACTAGTAAGCATTATGAGTAGAACTTCAAACTAGATTTATTGTCTCAAGTCAACGTTTTCTATTAATCAGAGTTCTCAATTTCAGGACCTTGATGCCAGAGTCATAGTCTCAAGGTTCCTTTGTTTCCATGAGTTCCCATATTTCTTAACTCATCAGTTTTTTAGAATGGGTTCCTAATTTCTAAATATCTGAGAGTCATTCATAATCTTAACATTAGTTTTATGCTTTCTCATTACAAATCTTTCGTCTCCTTCCCCGGCCCACTTATTCCTGGCTGGTAGTACGATCTGTTGGATAAGTAACTGATGAAGAAGAAAGTTTGTACTCACAAGAGCGCTCTGCACATGAAGCACTTGTTTTTATAGACCTTTCCATCAGCACCACGCACAGGGTCGTTCTCCCGAGTGCAAATGAGCTGCTCGTTCCTAGCACGCTCGCGAAGGTCACTGCATTGGTCCTAAAAAATAGAAAAGGGGAAGTTAACAAGATGTTTGATCTTCTTGACTAGACGGTTTGATAAGATTTTTATTTTTTAAAAGTGAGGGGAATATTATTAAAGTTTTTTCTTCGTTTGAGACTCAGACTTACTGCACTTATCCTGGCAACAGAGGCCACAGGAGGCCCAACCTGTCTAAGTCTTCCACTCTCGGCTTCACTCGGAACCTCTCTGCACTGGTCCTGAGATGTAAGATAAACATAAATAACATTTTACAGACCTTGTTGTCTCCCTTTCCCCTTCGCTTCCATCTTTCCTTTTTCCCATTTCTCACATGAAGTGTGCTCTTGACCAAAGAACAGCCTCACATAAATCTAACTCTATGTGATTATCACTATGAAAAGATCGGCCCAAGATTTCAATCAAAAAAGCAAATAGAAAAGACAACATAATGTACGCAAGCTTCAGTGAGGCTGAGGAAATTATCTGGAGAAAAAAGGAAAGCACACAAAGGGAAGAAGATAAAAATAAGGATTGAAAGAACTTGCTGTAATGTTAATTATTAAAACCAATGTCTACAAGATATCTTACATTTCATTTTAAATTTAAAGGATCATTGCTGATCATGTAACTGAGGTAGTGAAAAATTTAATGTTCTGTTTTTCCCCAAGAGGAGAGCTTAAAACAAAAATTGACACACTCTTAAGAATCTCTACAGAACCAAGAGAATAGCATCAGACTTCAAAGTCCAAAAGTAACACTTTTTCTTTCAATTGAAGGGTATTTGAAAACTGGAAGGGAAGGAATGCAAGAGGAGGAAAAAATAAGGAATCATTGAAATATTTATGAAAAATAACCTTTGAGTCATTTGAGGATGTGTCTCTTGATTTTTCTTCATCATTCTTTTGTCTTTCACTAGCTTCTCGCTCACTGCAGGATTGAAAACATAGGGTTTTTTGGTAGGTATTTTTAAATTTCATTTCACCAAATAATTCTCCAATGCTAAACATAAAGGAATTCAATACTATTTCCTAAAGAAATCTAAAAAATGATATTTTATTAATAAATTCTACCATTACAATGTTCATATACGTAGCAATGCTATCTTCATTAGTTAATAACATTGGAGCAGAATGATATCATGCTAAATAATATATATTTTTCTTAATCTAATAGTTTATTAACTCATGTAGAATCCTGCTTTATTTTTTTACTTTTTAAATCAACTAATAAATATTACAGTTTTCCCACACCTATCTAGAAAAAATATTTTTCATTTTATAAGTACTTTAAAAATATTATCTTCTTTAATATCTGTAAAAACTGTATCCTATTAACTTTATTGCCTACCTATCTATGATGTTTACCATCTCTGTGTTAGTTTGTGATGATTTGTATATGCTCTGATGGCCTAATGTTAAGGAGCTGCATTGCCAACCCAAAGATATGCGGTTCAAATCCAATCCACTAGCTGCTCCACAGGAGAAAGATTGGCAATTTCCTCCGACTCAGTTTAGTGCCTCTGAAAACTTGCTGCAGGGTCAGCTATGAGTTGATTCCAGCTTAATGGTACATAACAACAACAACAATGAGGAGATATGAAAGCTATACTAGCAGTATTTCTGATATTAGCAATGCTTTCCAGGGTGGAAAGAATGTAATGGATTTTTCATACTAAGACATACTAGGAAGGCAGTTGTGGTAACATGTTCACAAAAATTATAGGTCCGTTGATCAAATGAGAATACTATGTAAAGTGGATTCAAGCATGAAAATGGTTGTGATGGTGTCACAGAACTTATGTGTTTCCTCCTGTTGTCTATGGGTCTCTGTGAGTTAGACATTACTTAGCATCGATTAGCCAATTTGCCAATATGTAATAGCTGCCTTCCTGTCCCAGTGACTCCAAGTGTGATTAAGCCTTTCATTATCAAAATTGGATTTTTCTTGTGAAAGCACTTTGGAAACTGATTGTCTTCTGCCTAAGTGAGGAACTATATTATTTTTACATTTTTAATGTGTGATGTCAAGTTGTCTTCTATAATGTAAGAGGAACTTATTTATTTTTTTTTACAAACTGGTACTCTAATTGATCAATAAATCTCTTCACGTACAAGATGCTTCGACACATAGCACACTTGTTGACGTGCATTTTGCCATTTGGGCCTCGAACAGGGTCATTTTCTCTGGTGCAGATAAGCTTCCCTCCTCTCACCTGGCTCCGGAATTCCTGACATTCATCCTGCCAATACAAGCAAAAAGATGTTATTGCCATCATCTAATATTACCACTTTAAAAACCCCCCACAATTGGTTCGTTGTATATAACATACTAATGAGAAAATGGAAAAAAAACTAGAAAGAATTAAAATATTTTAACTGAAATGTTAGGGCTGAAATGTGTTTTAAAAGCATTTCATTTAATCTCTGCTAAATATGTTTGAATGCTATCAGTAGCATCCCTCTCAATAACTGTGCTACTCCAATTGGATTTCACTATCATGTAAGGCAACCCATTGTGTTTTCAGATAGTTTTATACAAACTCTGTTTCAAGTCCATCTCCTTATAACTTATTTCACACATAAAGGGTCAAGTTTTAATAACAGGAATGATTGAATAAAACCCTTTTCTGGCATGTACATCAACATGTAACTTTTTATCTTTGTTCCTCAGTAATATTTTTCTAAAAATCATCAACTGTATCATTTACAATTTTCTGTACAGAGATAACTTGTGGTTGCTGTGATGCTGAACACTGTGACACTGATGTGTCAAATGTGGTATTGGTTACCCATAGTGGACAGTGTTTGGTGAAGCTCCCCATTTAAAACAAACTTGGAAGCAGGAGTGGCATCCACTTCTGAAATAGCTTGCCTCTGGAAACCATATGAACATGGAGAAATGACCAAAGTTACACAAGTGTTCAGGTCTTCCATTCATAGGGTCACCATGAATTACCTACAACTCAATGGCACTTAACAACAATAACAACAAAAACAACATTCATTATTGTCTGCTCAGAACTAACCTATAGCTGACCCTCCAGAGGATTTTCAAAGACTGCATACTGCATGGGAGGAAACTACCCGTCTTTCTCTCTCACAGTCTCCTTTGGTTTAGCAATATAGCTCCCTATAGATTTTGTCACTGGAATTTGCAACAGATGAATATTATGTGCCAAACACTTTGCTCTGTGCTCTCACAGATGTCCTTTAATTTCCAGGAAAAAAATCCCATAAGATTGACACTCATTATCATCAAATGAGAAAAATAAAAAAAGGTTCCGAGAGATTAAGTAACTAAAGTCTTTGTGTAAGCATTACTAAAGCTCTGCTAACAGCCTGACTATAATTCTTCTTTTGTTGTTTGTGCATTGTTTTTATACAATAGAAAAGATATTATATATGTGTGCAAATATAAAGCTGACTTTTTTGCTCAATGAATTGCAAAGATCTTGAAGTCAATGAATCTGAACTTACAGGCTCTGACATTTGTTGAAATCTACAGAGAGATTCACAGAAATATATCATCTACTTCTTTTAAGAAACCAAAGATTTCTTAAAATTTCTTAAGATTGTCAAGAAAACAATGATTCTTATCACAGGACCTATGGGCAACATCATGGTGTATGGATAAAAGTTTGAAACTGTCAACAACTTCATCTTACTTAAATCCACAATTGATCCCTTGGTACCAGCAGTCAGGATATCAAGAGACATATTGCCTTGGGAAAGTCTGCAGTTAGGTTCCTATTATTATTGAGGAATAATGATGCCAGTTTGAGGACTAAGGTGAATACATCTGATTCAGACCATAGACTTTCTGATCACTTCTTTGTCTTTGAGAGTTTAACAATGTCTTTGAGTTGTGGTATTGGAGAAGAGCACTGATCACCTCATGGACTGCCAAAAGAACAAATAAACACGTTTTGAAGAGAGTGCAGATGGAGAGCTCATTGGAGGCAAGGATGATGCAGCTTCACGTTATGTGCTTTGGAAATGTTTCTAGGAGGGGCTAGGAGAGGGACATGATGGTTGGAAAGGGGAGGGTTGGAGAAGGAGAGGAAAAGACTCAACCAGGTGGATTGACACAGTGATGATTGAATGGGCTCTAGTGAGTCAGGAAATATGAAGATGGCACAGGTTAGGATGGAGTTCAGATCATCTGTTCATAGGCATACTCGGCTAAACAGCATCTAACAAAAACAACTTCTTTTAAACCCAAGGGCCAAAGTAGAAAGAGAAAACTAGAACCTTAGAGAATGCTACATGTTTGCAGTTAACATTATTTTTAGAAATCGTACTAATCATAATGACAGACCTTTTCAAAGACCAAATATTTGTAGCATTTTACAAGTTCTTGAAAAGTAATATCTGGTCGTCTTAGTAAGTATTTCACAACTATCTTTGTCAAAATTTGCCAAAATTATTTCCTTTTTGAGATGCTCACAAAACCACATGTCCTTATGCATATGATAGCATAGTTCTTCTCATTTAAAAATCCTTACTTTAGATACTCTATCTCTGACACTTACTTTATTTGTGTGTAATGAACATGTCTAAATTTTTCTCAGTAGTAAAGCTGAAAAAATCACCAATTGCACAGATTGTGCAGAAATTACCTTCTATAATGCATGTACAAAGAAGCTTTTTAAAATTGCATGTGTAGATATGAACTACTTCATTTTTGTAAAAGAAGTAGTTAAAATATTTGCATAGTAAGCTTTTCTCTGTGAGATTTATAAAATTTTTAAAATACATTCTGTTGTTGGTGCATACCGTCGTGTCAGAACTGACCCATAGTTGACCCTTCAATGTGTTTTCAGAGGCAGTTAAAAGCACAGGAGAGTGCCATCTTTTCCTGCAGAGTAGCTGGTGGCATTGAACTGTGTGATTTTGGGATTGCAGTGCAGCCTCTTACCAAGCTTACTGGCTCAACACAATGAAACTTTCATGTTGTTGTTGTTGTTATGTGCCGTTGAGTCGTTTGCGACTCATAGCGACCCTATGTACAACAAACAGCCCTAAACCGTACTCCATCCTGTGCCAATCTCATTGCCTCTGACACACCCATCCCGATTACCCCAGTCACTGAATCAATCTACCTCATAGAGGGACTTCCCTTCCTGCGCTGTCCCTCTACTCTACCCAGCATGATGTCCCTCTCTAAAGACCTGTCTCTCCTTACAACATGTCCAAAGTATGTCAGACGAAGCCCCAGAA